TATAAAAGTAAAGTTATCTATTTTTTCTTATTTTTCTTATTCTCTTACCGAGGTGAGGGAATTACGTTTTCCTGCCTGAAGAGGAACAAACCAATCTTTCTTTAACGAAATGAACTGAATTTCTTCCCGGGGTATTCTGACCCTCCGATTCCCGCCGGACTCTCCCCGATCAAAGATTCCGACTCCATCGTCTCTTCAGATCCTTCACCGTCCGTCTCTGTTTCTCTTTCCTGTTTGAGGTTCGGGTAGTGCTTTTCTCTTCTCTCTCTCTCTTTTTTTTTTTTTTTCCTTGCCTTCGTTATGGAATTTACGGTATTGGATTTGGTTATCCGATCGATTTGTTGCACGGAGGGAAACATGTTTGGATTGTCGGAAGCATCGAGAAAATTGTGAAGCATGATTTGGTCTGTTTTTGAGTTTGCTCTGTTTGGTTTGTTTATGGAAATATGAAATAACGCCTTGACTCAGCTACAAGTTGTTCTTCTCTTCTTTGATTTGAAGCGTTTTGGTATCTTTTGATCTGATTTTGATTAGATCAGATCGACTGCGGAAAACTATTTGGAGATTTTATGGTTTTTGGTTTGTAGAGAGAGAGAGTAAATGTTGACTATTGATTTATGAATTCCTCTTTTTTAACGAAGTATTCAGAGAAATTATGCAAATTTTTTTAGCGCAATTTAGATATTGTTACTGAGTCTAGCTCAGAGTTATTTTCATTTTTATGTTGCCAGTTTTTTCTTCAAAGATTTTTTTTTTTTTTTTTAATAGGGAGGAAATCAGAGGCTCATTTTCTCAACCAAATTTTGTTATCGCAATTGGCAAGTAATGTAAATGCTTACGGTTCGAAAACTTGGAATGTTTCAAAGGATCTTTTTTTCTTCTACGTGTTGTTGTTTATGTAAATGCCTGCCTTTTAAAACCCCTGAAGTTGATTTGATGAAGAAGTTATCCTGTTTAATACTTTATAAGTTCATATTGTTATTGCTGAGTAGTTTGGTGATATTCTTAATGATTGCTAGCACAGCAGTGCCTACTGTTCCTGCATCAGCTGAGACATTAAGATGCAGTCAACCCCTGTAAAAGATTTCATTATGGTGAAAAGGGAAGCAAAGGACTTACCCAGCTCAAGTTTCAGGGATCACTTGGATGGTACTACTTTACAAGGACCCATTGGCAATTTTTCTGCCTCTTCGTCATTATCGTCGTCCTCTTCTGAGGATGATTCTCAAGTAATACAGGACGAAGGTGGCCAGTGTGTTGGGAATGCTTCCAAGCAATTAGTGCTTTATGATCCTGCATCTAATGGCGGTGGTGCAATTGAACCCTACAATCCTGAGCCTATGAGGCACCAGCCACCAGCACGTCCACGATTTTCATCATCTAGAGTTCTGCCATCTGTTGGGGCTTTCACTGTCCAGTGTGCCAAATGTTTTAAATGGAGACTCATTCCAACAAAAGAAAAGTATGAAGAAATACGCGAACACATTCTGGAAAATCCTTTTGTTTGTGAAACAGCTCATGAGTGGCGACCTGATATCTCATGTGAGGATCCAACAGATATATCTCAAGATGGGAGCCGGCTTTGGGCAATTGACAAGCCCAATATTGCTCAGCCCCCTCCAGGGTGGCAAAGGCTACTGCGGATCAGAGGAGAAGGAAGTACAAAATTTGCAGACATGTAGGTTCTTTTCCTTTATGTGGAAATTCTAACCATTACACTGCCTTTGATTTGCTTTCATCCTCTTCGGTTTCAATCAAATTATTCCATTCACTAGATAATGGCTATCCCTTCTCAGAGGCCACAACTGTTGTTATCATGAGATTCAGGATATACATATATTTTTTTTCGCCAAATGATTCAGGATATCTTTATTCTTCGCTATATATGCCTTTTTGTATAGGGTATCCTCCTTGGATGCTAGAACTGGTTTGGTTGGAGCCATTTATTATGTGCTTGTTCTGTTTTTAAAATTACAAACACATGCACACAGAGTTTAGGTGTAAGTATTTGAGTTATAAATCTCGATTTGCAACCACAAATGCTAAATACAAGGACATCTAAAAGTATTGATAATTATATAAATGAATAAACTATAGCCCAAACCAGGTGTTTATTAGGTATTTTTGTTGGCTTTGTACTTTTAAGAAAACTTTCACTTGGTTTGGTTCATACTGTTCATATAGCCTCCAAAAGTTCTCAATTGAATCATCAACACCTTTACCATGATTTTTGCCCTATCTTTCTCAAGTGTTTCACATCCTGTTATTCAGTTGTATATTATTGTTTAATGTGCATCTGTGGAAGTTGGACTTCTTGTGAGAAATATTTCATGCAAGGAATCCTAACTTTTTTATTTTTTATTTTTTAAATTTTACTTTATCTGAATATTTGCAGCTACTATCAAGCACCATCAGGGAAGAGACTTCGCTCAATGGTGGAGGTGCAGAAGTATGTGATTGCCGCTTAACCATTTTTTTCCCTCACCTTTCCCCATCCTCTCTGTTTTCCTTCATTCTTTCATGTTTGTTTTTTTTATTATGCAGGTACTTGTCGGAACATCCTGAGTATATAAGAGAGGGGGTGACTTTGTCTCAGTTTTCATTTCAGATCCCTAAGCCTTTGCAGGAAGACTATGTGAGAAAACGCCCTCCTCGAACAGCCTCACAGGATAATGCTAGATCTGGTGAAGGTATGCAATGTAAGTTAATGTATTTGCTATACAAACTGAAAAGTAGCAATTTGATTAACTGATATTTATAAATATATGATAGCATTTCTACCAGTATTGACATTGAGCATATTGCAATCTGTTAAGATGGAACTAGAGTTAGGTTTTTGGATGTTTAAGGGAACTTTTGATATACAATTCCATAGCTGTTCAGAGACCATCATTTAGGGGTTTGGAGGTGAATGTCTTGTGGTTTTCCATTCACAAACATTGCAAGCATTTTCCTCAAAACAACTCTTTGGTAAAATTATAATCTCTCTCCCCTTGGTATTCTGGGTAAAACAAGGTGGATGGTGAAAGTCGGCTTGGCCAACATGTTTGAATGTTTTTGAAGCAATTTTTCACTAATTAAGTTCTCTTCCAGTGCCTCTGCTTCATTAATGTGGTAGCCAGCCTCATATGGATGTCCATTAATGTTTAGATGTGAAACTTTTCTACGAGAAACTTCTAATGCCTTCAAATGATTATATTGAATTATATCACACTCTGTGATTTGTGTTCTACACTTCTACTTTTCAAATGCATCAAGTTGGTTTGCTGCATTCCCTTTATTTTTTCTTCTCTAATCACATGACAAAGTTTCCGTATTAATTTTTGTTTTATTCCTCTGTTGTTATGAGTCCTGTCCTGTTTCCAATTTAATACCTTACTCTAGGTACACTTTAATGTAACCGTTCAAAAGTTGTTAATCTCATAATTGTTGTATTAGGTGGAAAAGGTTGAATATGAACTTCAAATCAATTGCTGTTGCTGTTTGTATTTACCATTGTTTTCAATTCATGACATGTGGCCCTATGTTGTTTCTTAGGTGGATCTACCTGTTATCAGTTGACTGTTTAATCTTAGTTTGAAGGCATGTGCTCCAATTGATTAAAATATTATGTTTTTTCCTACAGTTAATCCATTAGCATGGGCGGGTCCAGATGACACAGACTTGCATCTTGGCAGGCCAGCACTACCATCTCCATTCTTAAGGGGCCCTGTTTCTGATCCACTTCAACGACCAGCTAAGCAGGCCAAGAGAACACCATCAAAGCATATGTACAGTACTAATCCAGAATCTAATGAGCAGAGGTGAAGATACAAGACATCAGCCAGTCTACAGGTACTGCTGATTATACAGTCTTCAAGACTTGGGCCAGACCCATTTTATATTCTTTGTACCCTGTTACTATTTTCCTTCATCCTAGGTGGTTATGTCTCCAGAACTAAGAAACCGTCTTTTGACGGTGCTTTTGAGAGGGGAGGGGCTGGGTTATTTTAGAAATGGTGTTATAACCTTGATTGTCTAGGATATGTGAGAAAACCCATACGAAGAAACTAAAGCTTTATCTTTACTTTGTGTCGGATCATATGTACAATTACACTTGTGCGTTGGACATTCTATTATAGGACACCTAGTTAAACCTTGATGGATATTCATTACTTTATGTCTGCTATATGTTTCTTAATAGACTCATGGGATGTAATAATGATTTATTAATTTGAGTAGAAGAAGTTCGATTCTTTAAATAAGATCTTAAATTTGAGTTTTGTAAATAAAAAAATAAGTATTGAAAAACCTTTTTTTTTTTATGAGATTTGAGATAATTTAATTCTAAATTTTATCATAATCCAATATGACTTATGAATAATAAGAGGTTAGTTAAAAAAAAAAAAGACTTATGGGATATTCCCAGAATGATTTTGTTCTCGATGGAGGATTGGATGTTTTCTTCTGTTAAAAAGCTTTTGTTTCTCATTAAAAAAAAAAAAAGTTGTTTCATACGTTAAAAAATATTATATATATTGACCATTCTCAACGCGAGGACACAACTTCTGAGCAAACTTTTTCTTCTCGTCTATTCTGGTCTCAACATACAAAACATGGATTTTGAAGAGTTACTCATGCTACCGGGTTCCCCACTTTGAAATGTTAGATCACTAAACTCATACCTTCTGGCTAGTGGTTAGAAATTTAACCTTTGCCACTGAGACAAAAATTAACTCATACATCACAGACAACAATGGATGAGAGCAGAGGGTCAGATGCCCCGATGACCATTGCACCCTTGCTTCTAACAAGCAGCAGATAGTCCAAAGCTTTCTCCGTCATAATCTCGCCGGGAATCATCACAGGAATACCAGGTGGATATGGACATAACAGCTCCCCACAAATCCTCCCAAGACTCTCTTCTATTGCTACTTTCCTTTTTTGTGCAAAGAAGGCTTCTCTTGGATTCAAGATCATATTAACGTCGGTCAAGGGTGCTGAATCACTATGCTCAACTCTTTCTTCTACACTCTTGGAAGACATGTAACATTCAGATAGCTTTTGTATTCCAGATAGAAGCCTCTGGATATGCTCACTAGAAGTTCCAAGGTTGATCGAAAATGTAATAGATTGGGTGCCAACAACCTCACATATGATCCTATCATCCCTATCTAAGATTTCGTCAGCATCAAAACCAGATAGACCAAGCTGCCAAACGCCAATAGTAAGCCGTAAGGGATCAATGAAAGGGAACTTAGGGAATGTTGGTGTTTCAAGAACTGAAATGCCTGGAATCCTTTTGATACAGTATTTTGCTTTAATTGCTAAATCCATTGCTTCATTGAAAATGGTTCCTGGTTTTTCACTAAGTTGGGCTCTGGCAGCATCTAATGATGCCAACAGCAGATAACTAGGGCTAGTACTTTGAAGAGTTTGAAGGCATCTGCAGATTCTTTCTCTGTCTACCATATTCCCCGACATATGTAACATCGATGATTGTGTAAGTGAGCAGAGAACCTTATGAGTAGATTGCACAGCCAGGTCAGCACCTTGTTGGAGGGCTGACTGAGGCAGCTGGGGATGTAATCCTAAATGCGCTCCATGAGCCTCGTCAACAATAACAGGAATTCCATGAGAATGACAGAGCTTGGAAATTTCTCCCAAGTTGCTGCAGATGCCATGATATGTTGGGGACGTGACAAATACTGCAGCTGCTTTTCTATCTTCCATCTCCAATTCCTTGATTGCTTTTTCAATCTGTAATAAATAACATTAACCTTTAATCATACAAATGGTTAAATATCTGCCCTATGCTGTGATACAACTGTTTTGTAACCATGTAACTTCATTTGAAATAACAGACTGAAAAAAAAAAAAACAAGGCTAATAAAAGTCAATGAAAAAGAGGAGTTTTATGGTTTCAAAGAAATTATGAGTGAAAAATTCACACTAGGATTATCCAGTATAGAAGACTTACTTGTAAGGGAGTAACACCTGCAGCAATGTCCCAGAGATTGTCATACTCGGGGATGATGTACTTTGGAATTGTACCAGATAATACCATAGCTGAAATAGCTGAGATATGGCAATTCCGAGGGAGAATTAAATAATCCCCAGGGGAACAAGTTGCCATTATTGCAGCTTGAATTCCGCAAGTGGTGCCTCCAACAAGAAACCATGTCTCAGATGATCCAAACAGTTTGGCCGCTTCCTCTTGTGCCTTTAAGATAGGTCCCTGGGGAGAAAAGAGGTTGTCAAGCTCTGGAAGTTCAGGTAAATCATGGGAAAATGGCCTCAAGCCAATAAGCTGACTTAACGAAGATGGTGCAGCCCGGCCTCTATTGTGCCCTGGAAAATGAAAACTGGCAACATTTTCTTCAGCTGAGGCTTTCAATGCACTGACCAAAGGAGGAAGGGTATCTGAAGGAGCAATGTGAGAGTCTGGAATTATAAGGCTGTCCTGGGGGAGAGATTTGCAGCTAACACTTTTGCTTCTTTTATCTTGCTTCTTTCTTAGGACTAAGATACTTCTATTGCCCTGCAAGACGTTGAAGACTTTAGCAGATACTCACTTAGTCCTTAAACCCAAAAAGACCATCCATGAATAAAGTCTTTGAATGCTTATCTCTAACTCCTCCAAAATAATACATAGATTTCTTAATCCCACACGAATTACAGTATTAAAGCCTCTATTTTTCATTTTCTGCAAGTTTTTAAATCGAAATGGGGACAAAGAAAATCAATTCACGAGGGTTATTGTCAAAATAAAACTTCAGGCAGTTTTTTCTCCCCAGTGCAAAGTAGAGGAAATTTGGAAGCTAAATGAGATTATATATAGGGCTAATCATAACAACTGGTAAGTGATAAACAAAAAACTAAACGAACCCTTCTAGGTATGGTTCAAAAGAAGAGTAAATAACACAATTACACCTTCCTTTCTTTCTTTCTCCCTCTTTTCCCTCACTTTCCTAGCAACCAAACAAAAAATGAAACAAAGACTGCAACCAAAGCAGATGAAGACTACGTAAACCCCATTTTAAGCACAACCTCTAAAGCCAAAAAAAAAAAGATAATTAATAAAAGCATAGAGAAACATGTAGAAACTGAAATGGGCAATCACCTGGGAAACAAAAACTTCTGCTCTTATAAAATTACAGGGTTGAAAGCTCTGCAAAACAAAAACCAAAAACTAAGTGAGACTACAGAGAGAAATTAGCCTGATAGAAGGAAGAGAAAGAGAGACTTACCAAGTCCAGAGAGTATGCAGGGGGGAGACAAACCATTGTTTCTCCACACACAAGTTTGTCTGTAACGGCTAAAGGACAATGGTAAGAACTAAGAATGTAGAATTATAATGGGCCAGCAGAAGTTGTGGAATATTTGGGTCAGGAAACCAAGCTTATGAATCTTCAATAAATTGGCCCTGACACAACCTCCAAACCCAACTCCAACTAATGAGAATTTTTTTTTTTTTTTTGGATATACTGAGTAAAGAGAGTTGGCAGTGGCATTTACATTCACATGAATTCATTAAAAGCGTTACATATGGTCCATAAAATCATGGATAAGGTTTTGGGTAGCTTTGCCTTGAAATAAAAAAAAGGGATATCTAGACAACCCAAAATAAAAGGGTCTGTCCATTTCATGAAAATGCATGTATACATTCTGAAGAAGCAACTTTATGGGGTTATTCTACCAAAAAGAAAGAAAGAAAGAAAGAAAAAAACTTTATGGGGTTATGAAAGGACATATTGAGTTGGCACTTGTGCGCTGCATTTAATGGAGTTTCGAATTCTTATCTACTTAGCCAACTAGTTTTTTTTGGTTAGTGAATATATGGTGATAGCTAGGTTCAAGCTACAATCCTTCATAATTATAAATCCAAATGCTAGTTTGGTTAGGTTAAATTATGAACTTTAAAGCCGCCAACATCTTTCATGGCAAATTAATAACTACTAATCTATAATGAAGATTATATGATTTGGTATTAACTGTTTAATCCCAATCATAAAATAGATGACACTCATTATATTTTTAATTGAATTTCATCTATTATAGGGTTAAGATTGTCTATACCAATATTTTTACTTTCATGTTGTTTTGATTTTCAATTTTTTTAGACTATAATATTATTATTATTATTATTATTATGCTAAGATCTTTAAAAGAAATTTAAGGATCTCATACGCAAAAACATTCTGTTGGGCAGTTGATAAATGAGGTATCAAGTAGCTTAGGTTTCACAATGTCCACAGAAAAGAAACTTTGTTGCCAATTGGTTGGGGGTAGTAGGGGCAATTGGGGCATTGCAACCTCTAGATCCAGATTCTTGAGCATTTATACCATTAAAAAAATGTAAGACAAATTAAAAAGATAAAAGTGAAAATTATGATAGTATTTAGTATTTTAATTACTCTTAAAATTATTTAAATATTTGTAATGAGTGATTTTTATTTGTTGATTTATTAATAATATTTAAGTCTTTTGGTTATCATTATCGGTATTTAATTATTAAAATATTATAAATTTTCACATTGTCATTTAAAAATTAATATTCAAACTTAAATTTATAAAATTTTGAATTTTTTCCCATTGAATTGTTTTTAATGGATATGCAGCGTTGGATTCGTCCAATAAGCCCTGGTTTTCAGGAAATAAAGAAAGTGTGCAGCAATTTTTAAATCCCTTGCTCTCAAGTCTTAAATGTTAAAAAAGATTATGCTTTTTATATGTGAAAGAAGATTGTTTCTGCTGTTGAGAAATATTCTTTCTGATTCAGATAGAAAAAAATAAATGTAATTCTAAA